CCTGGAATGAGATCCAATACCACACTTAGTTAGCTGAAATTAGCAAGCAATAAAAAGTAATCACCAGTCGAAAATGCAATCTTGTCCTTCATGGTCAATCCTGATTCTTTTAAGTTGGTGACTCACTTTCTTTTGCAGCATTTTATATTCTAATCAATAGTAAAGTTAGAAATAGAATAATAATTCAAAGTAATTTTCATGAAAATCAGTTAAACTAATATCTCTATTATAGTCTGAAGCATTATTTCTTTCTGCTTCATAACAGAAGCCATACCTCTGACTTCACTGTTATTTCTTCAATAAGGTAAATAATGTCGAACCCTGCAACCCAAATATTAAAGGTTGAAAGCAGAATCAAAACATTGGAAGCAAAAAAGATCGACTGATGAGAGTTGATCACCAACTTTATCCAGGCAAGGCACATCCACAAACTACATTTCAACATACAATTACATTTTTTAAATCCTATAGAAGAAGCAAATTAATTAATAGCTATGTTTTGCAAGGGGTAGGTGGAACCTGTAATTAGAGCCATAACAGCAAAAAACTTTTTCAAGCAACCCTTAAACAATCCTACATTGTCGACGTACCATATTATGATCAAGTATGATCAATGAACTTCTGACCCAATAACATCATTCATGCAGCGAAAATTCTCTTAGCATGCACCTGAAAACGACGACATTCAATAATTATTTGATGAATAAATATTTTAAAAACAAAAAGAAGACAAATTCAACTTTACAATGTAAGCTTCCTATTTTCATTATTGTTTCTACATCGGAATACGACCTTCCAAATAAAAATTGATGAATAGTCAGGAGAAGAATCTAGCTTTTACCAACAATAAGGAAACTATGATAAGAGGTCAATGGTCATCAATAAAAAGCAAAACATAAATTTATTACAATGGAAAAGGAGTACAAGGAAGAAGATGATGGCAAATAAACTTCTATTTCATGATAATGAATCCTTTCAAGCATTCTTTTGCATGGGTGCATTCATCCGTTTAAAGTTTAATTTTTGCAATTTTTGTAAAAGTCACCATTAACATCAAAATTGACTCACCAAATCAACTACTTCTTTCTCCACAACTTCTATAATAAATCTGTCTCCGCCATTATGCTCTCTTAATTTGTAGGTCTTATACTACAAAAGAAGACAATTTAACAAAATCAACATTTATTATTTTCAAATCAATATAAATATCAGAATAAGTAATACAAATACTGATTATGAAACTAATTAGTACACCTTAAAACAACCAAATCAACTAAGGACAGAATTACAAACACGAATTGAGAAATTATCATTGCTTCACATATGTTCACATAGATTACATGTTAGAATTTCAAGGTAATAAAGGCACTTGGATATTTTGAGAATTGTGATTTCACTATCAAATCAAAGTATTGGCTGGTACTCCATAATCTTTGATTGGATAAGACTCAGAAATGAGAGCAAGAACCAAGAATATGGATGTTATGAATTTCGTGTGTACCATCAAATGAAGACCAAAAATTAGTTAAGTAACCTTTCCATCAGAAAACTGTCACCAAACAATTGTATGTCTAAAAACTATCACAAAAAACAGTTTGATGTCTGAAACCTGTCACTAATTCAGGTTATTTATATAAGGGTCAAAACAAAGCCAAAAATCGGGTTTATTTCCAAAAATTCAGATTTCTGATGCATTTTTAATATAATAATATAACCTAAATAAAAATTCAAATGAAGACCAAAAATTTGACCCCAGCCAGGGGCTCTGCCCCTTGGACTCTGACAGGGGTTGTCGCCCCTTGGACTGCGCTCCCAGGGGCGCTGCCCCCGGACCCCCGTTCGTTTATGGGGTTCGCCCATAAATAACAGTCTACTTTAAATCTTGAATGAACTTAAACAAGTGTGCACTCTGCACATTCCTTACTTGTTTAATATTCATCAAGATTAATTTTTGGTCAACAAGTCAATCCATTACACTTAAATACACATTGATGATACAAAATCACCAACATTACATATATAACTAAAATAAAAATGTGTGTGTACGTAAATCATAATCACCTTCAACAATGGCTTTATACACTATTCAACGAACCACATCAGAAAACACGGATTAATTAACCAATAATTCTAATAAGCTGATGAAACTGAATTCAAAATACAAGAAGATAAAAGGAATTATTGAAGGGAAACTGGAGGAACATCAATATAGTTACCAATAATGAACAATAGCGTATTGACGTAAGACCCATTGATTTCCACAGAGAATGGCAGTGGGAAGGCGGTGAAGGAGCCAAAGCTTGGAGAAGATGGAGATGAACCCGAGGGCACAATCAACAGTGTAGTGGTTTTAGGGCTTGTTGATAGGAAAAGAGGAAAATGTTGGAATATGGTTTTTAGGAATTGGTGCTTAGAAAAAACATGGAGTACCTTAGAGGCGGTGTATCATGGGGAGGACACATAGTGTCGATGAAAAAACCAGGAAGAATGAAGAACAAACAGCGGAGAACAGAAACTGAATATACCTCCTAAAAAGTTTTCCAAAATTAATGAACCCTATGTATATTATTACCTTTGAATATACGTTAACACTTCGAAAATGAAAAAGATGGAGACGTTGCAATTAGTGGTGGATCAAATATCAATCGCGCTTTGTTGTCGCCATCTTCTCCAGCCTCCGTCCTCGTTCTCTTCTGGACCTACTATCGCTACACTCCTTTGTACCTGAAATAGCCGACGGTGAATGGGAAACCCAGAGGTCCAAGACACAAATAGGAAGAGGGTCAAGCGGCGAGGGAAAGATAAAGTGAGTGGTGGTGGAAGGATCGGGAAGCAAAAGACGTAACCATCATTTGATGGAGGAATTACAAAGCGGTGGGAAAGAAAGGTTCGAAAAGTAGCACTTGATTGGATAACAAGGGCGGTGGGCACTAATCTTTTGTCTATTGGCTTTTGGACACGTGTATATTGGCTTCTGTAACACATGTTTCCAAACATTGACCAAAAAAAATTAAAAGTGGTTAAAAGTTGTCCAAAGGAAAAAAAAATCCCCCACTACAAAGAACTGTTCACAAGGATGCTTCTAAATCAATATAATATATAATTGGTTAGTCATGTTCTATTGGAAGCCAACATAATCCCCAATCTTCATAGTTTTGATTAATTCAACATTGGTGGAGTTGATTTGGCCAGGAGAATCGACACTTTTAGGCGTAAATGACCGTTTGTGATTGGTAGTATCACATGACTTGGAGCAGTGGCGGATCTAGGAAAAAGAACTAGGGTATGCAACGACCGATCCAAAAAACAATTGTTGGTGTTACAATATAATTGATGATGTTAAATAAAAATTAAATAATTAATTAAATTTTTGTAAGTAAAGTCAAAAATTACAATAATTCTTCAAGAGATTCAAATTTAATTAAAATTGTAAATATTGAAAACAATATACAATTTTCATTTTTTTTGTTTATAATCTTAGTTAACCAACTATATATCTATTTTCTAATATTATATATTGTTAAACATTATATATGTGACAAGTTCTTAATGCATATAATAAATAAAAGACATAACTTACAAAGGGGCTTTTGATAAAAAAAAAAAGAATGTAATTCGGGTACGTACGTAGGGTTATGCTTTGGTAAAGACTCTAGGCACAAGTTTCAATTTGTTATTCTATTTCCTATACAAAGGAGCAGTTAGCAAACATTGGACAACAACTTTTACTTTTAAAACACTTTTATGTTTATCAAGATTTAACAAAAAGAGTTAGAGAGAAGCACATACCGATACTATATGCATTTCTTCCGAAGAGAAGTGAACAGTCCGCTGGAGAACTGGAGATGAAGGGACGAGATGATTTGCATATCTGATACAAAGGACTCTAGTACTGCAGCGTTTGACGGAAAAGGTGCTCTGACGGAGAGGTCCGTCCGAGGATGCAAATCATTTGGTGATTTATGAATGCCAAATGATGTTCGTACAATGTTTTTCTGGCATTGGATTTTTTTAGGGTCGATATCTTTATGATTAACATTTTATTTTCTTTTATAATTTCTAGAAGATTTGTTATATGATTTCCGGTTTATCAAGGTCAAAAAGCTAGATGTGATTTTCTTTTTTGTATTAAAATTTTGAAGATAAAATTTTGAATTATCTTAATATTGTTTTAGCGAGTCTTCATCCCCTACTTTCGAGGTATGCAAGTTTTTTGAGGAGGGTATGCAAAGACTAATTTGTATATATAAATTTTTTAGAACATAAATAATTAGTATTTATTGTAAAACTTCAAGGGTATGCAATTGCATACCCTTATTATACTGTAGATCCGCCCCTGACTTGGGGCATGTTTTTCAAGTTGAAGCTCGAAGAAATGTCTCTGAATTTAACCGACATCCATTTGGTTTATGAAGAAGAGGTTTTGACACCTTTATTAATTATTCTCACTGGTTTGCAATCAATTGCAGTCGAGGACGATTGCTAGTGATTAAAATCGATTGTATTTGACGAGCTAGATCATTTTTTTGGTTGAGGTTAGGAATAGTTTCAACATCAATGTGGTGCCCCATATTAATTTTCGGTGTGGACTGGGAGTCCATTAGATCCACAACATTCCACTCTCTAGTCTATATACAGCCTATTGTTTTGTTTTGAGGCCCAACTCTAACCATCTCGGACCCACTTAACTTTTTCCTCTTTCGGCCCATCAGGCCCATCATCGAGGTCCACTACAGCGTCACTGGGGTCAGGGAAAATCAGAGCTTTTTAGAGCCCATTATTTGAGGATATGATCCCCAGGAAGTCAAATATATCGTTATCTATTACCAAGCACCGATTGACATATATACATGCACAGGTGTATTTTCTTCTTGAAAAACAAATTAAAAAATTTCCAACCAGTCAATCCCAAATTTAATTAAAAAAATTAAATTGTTATCAAGATCGCAGTCTTCATTTCGAAAACAAACAAAAAAAATAATGAAAAGAGCAATAACTAACTAACAAACTACTTCTGCAACAAGTCTCTTTCTGATACCCTTACAATCGACGGATCCAAACACGGCTTCATTTGCTGCAACCACACATTTCTCCTTCCCAATGCATTCCTGTTCACGAATAATATTATGAACATATCATTTTATGACTCTAAACATTAAACAAATTAAACATGCCGTGTTGATCATTCACCTTTTTCAATACGTCCAAAGCATTCTTTCCCCCTTGACAAGTCCCCTTTTGAAACGACCCACAGCTCCCTTGAACGTCTCCAAAAGAAGCAAATCGAACTGCAGTGATGCTTCGACCATGGCTGCACGATATCTCCATCGTCTTGTTCTCGTATGCATAACCACACGCCTTTCCGACTGACACTGTCTGGAAATTCACCGACGATGGGTTGCCTCCAAATTCCTCCCACAAAACCAGTTCATTCTGATCACCATCCACCAAGAACGATCGTGGAACATGATACCACCTTTGCGTCGGTAAACCACAGGCCCTAACACACTTGTTGTTATCGTATTTACCACGATAATCGCAAGCTTTCTCCGAGCAATAATGGTTTTTTGCAATGTTGCTTGGCCAATATCTACCGATGCTTTTCCCGTTCACCCATGCAAGTCCTTTACCTAGTCCGTCAAGATCCAATGACACCGGATCTTTTCCCATCGGAGCTTTGAATGTCGTCTGCATGCATCCAGATCAATTATAATTAGTACTAATTAATAAGATTAAACAATATTTGATCTTTATACCAAATGAAATACATTCGTATATATACCTTGTACCAAGTCATTTTTCGTTGTGTGGGAAGATCATGAGTTTTCCACTCGGAGGAATCGACTTTAACAAGGTTATTATATTGATCGATGCTTTTTATTCCGGCTTTAAAAGACCATTCGTGGGAAGAAAGATCTGTAATGACAGTTTGATCGCCTTTCCTTCCTATGATCTCTACTGGACCAGGAACACCATTTGCAATCATATCAAATTTCGGCCCATAATGCTGCGCTCGATATATAAACAACATTACATGCATATGAATATAAATTAATCCATATATAGTAAAATATACGTATGTAGTTCTCGTTTTGTTACCTGAAAACCGGTGGTGACGCTAAGTAGGGTTATTTGATTCAGGCCAGGTTTCAACTTAATCTTTTTCTCGAAAACATAATGGAAAATTCCGTATGTAACAAATTCTCTTCCTATATATTCACCGTTTACGTATGCATGGAGAACTTGGCCAGTACAATTAACTCTCAGGCTCATATCATCGCTCCAAATCGGGTCATTCTCATCGATATTCACACTTGAGTTGATAATCAAAAGAAATATTCGAGTTAATAAGTAACTAAGTTGATTATCGTTGTTATTGTTGATCTATAAAGTGATCATATATGTATATATACCTGGTCATGTACCATAGGTAGTCACTAACATCATTAGCAGCTTTTTGATCCATGAGTTTAGAAGCAGTTTTGTCTCCCTTGCCTTTAATAACCGTGTCATCGATGTTCTCATGCCTCCATGCCCACTTCAAAGGTACTGGTTCTTGCTCTGTTTGATTTGCTTTCTTCTCTATCACCCATGTTTCAGTGTTCACCTGTGAAAAGTTCGATGCAAATCTTAACGACATTTCCATTCTTATCGGTACATGAAGATAAGTATTTGGTTACCTACCTTGGCTGTGTTATAGACTTCATTCTTACAGTCGGGAAGTAAACTAACAGACCATGCAGGAACGTCGTACAGTGTTCCTTGAAAACTAACCCTAGCATCCGATGTCGTATTTGTATTGCTCAAAAAACAACCAGTTCCATCGGTTGACTGATAAATCGATGCCTGTCATCCCCATAAACAAACAAAGAAAATTAAACATACTCTTAATTATTTCCAGCAAGTAATTATATATAGTTATACCGAAACTGAATTCCCCATGTCTGTGTGTGAAACATTGCCATGGATAAGAACCTTCTCCATGGAATGAAGAGCATCATGGAGCTTCTTCAAGTGCCCAAATTTGGGTTGATTGAAATTCCCTATAACAAATCCCATCATTCGATCAGTTGAGTTGCTTATACTTGCATGTCATCATCATTATTTAACATTTAACATGTATTAATTTGTGAAATCGAAAATAGAAGATACATAACCATATTCATCAAGAGGAGCATCATAGTCGTATGAGGTTGTGATTAATGGACCACCAGCAGATCTACCAAAATTTGTGCCACCATGATACTAGGCGCATAAAGAAAGTAACATATTGTAAATATATTGATTCATTATTTAAGACTCATGAACTAATTGTGAAGTAAAGAAGAACAATAGTATTAAATACCATATAGTAGTTATTGAAAGTGCCTCCACGCTGAAAAAACCTTGCAGTAGCATAAGCAATATCCTCAGTTGTTCTAAACGGATCTGAACCACCCCAACTCTTGAACCTAATTATTAATCCAAAATTTTATCATAACAAAAAAGCAAATTTAACAAAAATAAAGAAGTATTAATAATATTGACATAATTATATAAAATACCATCCAGTCCAGTTTTCAGTCCACATCTTTGGGCTATTGGGATTGTTGGGAGTAAATTCATCACAATACCAGCCATTGCATGTATTTATCTGGCAACATTAATTAAGTAGACTATAATCAGACTTCTAAGCTACATTTGTAAATTTAAAACAAATATGAATTCATTAATGGTTAATTACCATAGGCTTTGGAGCATCACTTTGTTGACACATGATCCATGGGACACCAATATTAAGTGAATCAGCCATCTTTGCACACCAGTCGACATAAACTTTCGCAGCATGTCCATAAGATGTCATCACATTTCCATACTCATTTTCGATCTGTTTATGGTTCAATATAATCATCGATATTAATTATACTGAAGTTATAAATGCAAAATGAATTAAGGATTGCATGAAACAAGATTAATACCTGGGAAAGAATGATGGGTCCTCCTTGAGAAGCAAAAAGCTTCTCTTTTTTTACCAATTCGACTATCTTTTCAGTAAAATTTTGCATCTCTTTCTGATATTCGTTCGATACACAAAAGCAATCGTGTTAGCTATATATAATATTATAACAATTAACAAAATATGATCAATAACTGATAAAATATAATTACCATGTACACAGTATTATCTGTTCGAAGTTCTTCAATCCCACGCATGTTGTGCAACCATAGTGGAAATCCTCTGAAACCATTATATAAAACATGCAACATTAATGATAGGGAAAATGACTTAAAAGCCCAACAAAGTTTCCAAAACATTCAAAAAATCTCAATTATGTTTTATCTGTTCAAAAAACCCAACGAACTTAACTTTTTGTCTAAAAAGTCCAACAAAGTTCCAAACCATTCAAAAAATCTCAATTTTGTTTTGTTTAAGTTCATTGGGGTTTTTTTTGAACAGTCAAAACATGATCGGAGTTTTGTAAACGTTTTGGAAACTTTGTTGATCTAACAAGTCATTTTCCCGATACGGTAATAAGCCACATCATCTATTCCTCTTATTTGACTTTCAGGAAAGTGTAACTTAGTTGAGATTTTTAGACAAAATGTAAAGTTCATTGGGTTTTTTTGGACACACAAAACATGATTGAGGTTTTTTGAACAGTTTGAAAACTTCGTTGGGTTTGTAAATCATTTTCCCTTAATGATACCACTAAAAAAAGGTGTCAATAAAGCAAGATGTTTGAAATAAGTAGACACAAATTAATACAAGAAAAGAAAAAACAACAAACCCGTAATTCCATTCGGCACAAACATAAGGTCCGATACGAAGTACAACATATAGGCCTTGATCTTGAATGGTTTTTATAAACCTTATAAAATCCAAATTGCCAGAAAAGTCATACTGGCGACGAAAAGGCTCATGAGCATTCCAAAAAACATAAGTTTCGATTGCATCGAGGCCACCCTCTTTAGCCTTCTTAATCAAATCAGGCCACATCTAATATTATAAAGCACATCATATGTATATTTGATAAGACAATGGTTACAAAGTAAGTTTATAGCATTAGATAGGTGGTATAAATTTTTGAAAAGAAAGGTGGTATATATACCTCGGGCGTGCTACGTGGATAATGAATGGAGCCACAGATGAGAAGACGGCGCTGGCCATCAATGGTGATGGCCCTACCATCGTGAGAAACTTGGGTTGCGTTAGCGGTTGATATGCATTGATGAAGAAGAAGTAGAGAAAGCAAAAGGAGAGTAGTACTCAATCCCATCATGATCGAGGGAGAATGCATAGAAGATCAGTATCAAGATTGGTGTATATTTATAGGGATGTTGTCAATTGTCACAGTGAATTGTGGAGTAGTTGAAAGCTCATGAAAATTCGGTGTTCAAGAGTTGAAGTGGTATAAATCTAAGTAATCAATTTCCGATGTTTGTTCTAACATTTCCTAAAAAACACCAAAACAATAGCAATTCATTTAGAAAATATTTTGCACTTTTTAACTGGCACAAAAGACAATTTTTTAGAAATACGTACGTTCTTTTACTTATATCATGTCATGTCATATTCTTTCGAACATATCTTAGGAGCTTTTGTAATTACTTTTATTTTTTGCAATTACTTTTATATTGGTGTAGTATCAATCGTTTCTTTTAGTCCTCCCTGCCACATTAACAACTAAGCAATGTTACTATTGTTTCAAACATATCATATCCTTTTGCAATAATTTTATATTACTTTTTAAATATATCGTAAATACAAATATGCGAGGGTACAATAATCCCAGAATTAATGTTGATCAACATATGTCAAACTTTTATAGTCACATCGTTGAATATTACGTTATATCTTTCATTGGATGATTTTGAATTCATATTTTTCACACTTGGATGAGATATGTTGTGAAAAAAATGACGTACTATAAAAATAATAGAAAAAGAGATAACAACGAAGTTGATATTGGGCCAACTGACCAAGAATATTAAATCAAGGGAATACAACTCGTATCCTCAAATACACACAGGTTTGTTCATGGGCCAATACATGATCCCCGTCTAACCAGAAGAAAAACTTTTAAGAAATAGGTAAAGAAACATTTTCTTCAAAAAAAAAATTTGAATAGCAAGAAATTATGGAGAACTTACAAAGAAACTTTGAAAGATTGTGAAAGGAAAAAAGAATGACAAAAAAGAAAATTGACGATTAGATTGATGGGATCCATCAACCTTAAGAGAGCAACAAAGAAGGCTCGTCTCGGGCATGCACCACATACGTGGGGCATTCATGGCTCAGGACTAAAACCCTAATGTTAGGGTAAAGCCTCTATTTAAACACTCTTATGTTGTTTGGACCTTACCCTAGACATCCTCGATAGTCTATTATCGTCCCAAATCCCTAGATTTGCATGAGAGTGTAATCTTTGAGCTTAAAAGTGTTTTGGTGGCCACTTTATTGGGTTTACAAGGAGAAGGTGGTGATCAAGTCATGGATGTTATTGAGCTTCTAGATCTTACATCTAGTTCATCTTGAGGAACTTATGGGGGTAAAAAGTCTAGACCTTGCCACCTCTTTTGCTAGTTTGAGTTAGGGTTTGTTGTGAAGTCCATTTTTGGTTCATGGACCCTTTCTTGCGAGTTTGAGAAACTCTAAAGGCTAAAAATGATAGATCTAAGCTCCTTGGTCATGCTTGATGCATAAAAGTGCCATCTTGAAGGTTGTATTAGTACCATGCATGAGTTTAAGGTCTTAAAAGTGGTCTTAATGGAAAAAATGAGGTATTCGGGTCCCATGTAGCATGCAAGGGCATAAAGTTGATAACTTTATCACCTAGCACATCTTAATAGACTCAAATTTAGAGTTAGATGTTGAGATCTCAAGTAATAAGTACTTAACTGAATTTTGTTCATGGGTTGCTTGTACGCTAGGCGTAAGGATGCGTACGTTGCGCGTACGGCCAAAGGACTTAGTATGCTAAGTGTACTCATGTGGTACTTTAGGCATACGCACCCCAAATGAGTTTAGGCTTCGTTGGGCTTGTAAGCTTATTGGGCCCTATCCAACCTTGGGCCTGGACCCATTCATAATTGTTGGACTTTTGTTCTAATTTGGAAAATAGTTGGCATGCTTGGGCCTTTTGGGTCTTTTGGCCCTTTATGGTTTTAGACTTTGATGTTGGACCCATTAAGGAAGGAGAGACCTTCGGGCCATCATGGAGGGACTTGGACTTAGGATTTTGGGCCCTCGTCTAGGTTGTGTCATAATCTTAATTAGGGCTATTTGAATATTCTTACAGAGTGAAATTTTTGATTGGTAGTCGAGCAACTATTGTTTTCAGCAGACTGAGGTGAGTCTTCTCATTATACCAATGGGTAGAAGGCATCAAGTCGGCCCATTACTTGATATGAGGTTTCAATAGTTAAATATGCAATGGTTTTGTTATTTGGCATGTTATGACTTATGTGAAGACCATAGGGGAGCCCATGGTATTTGGTAAAAACCATGATAGGAGCCCATGACCCATGGATGTAAGACCATGGGGGTAGCCCATGGCATTCCGCGTGAAGATCATGGAGTGAGTCCATGGCAATCCTATGTATATATGTTGCATGGCATTATGTTGTTATATGTTTTGTGTATTTTGGGAACTCACTAAGCATTTGCTTACAATTTTGTTGGGTGTTTCGAGTACGTTTGGCTCTAAGGGCAAGGGTCTGGCTTGATGGCGCAACATGTACTCTCTAGTATTTCCGCATTCATTGTTTTGGATACTCTAATTTTATGGACATGAGTTTATGTAATGGAATTTTGGAAAACTAATTATGGTTGTAATTTTTAAATATTAAATGGAAAATTTTATCTAAACTTTTGGGCAGTTACAAGTTGGTATCAGAGCCTTAGTTTAAGAGATTTAGGCACACTCTCGGGTGTATCAGAACTCAAACTGAGGAAATGGCATACGTTTTTTCAAAATAAACCAAAGTTCAATTTTTTTTTTCTTCTGAAAATGGTTTTCTTAAGTAAACGAGTGAGAGTGCAATGCGCATAATCGGTCGAGCTCAAGTGAGTGTTCCCAGTGTATTAGCCATGCTAGATATATATTCTTGGAAGTTGGTGTTGAATTTGTTATTTGCTAAGTGTATGTTTTCAAACTTGTATATGTCTAGGATTGCATAGCCCTAGAATGATGGATTCTACCTTATTTCCTATTCCTTGTTTGGTTGTAGTTTTAGGGTAGAAGCTTTATTTGATAATCTATGTGATTATATTTAAGTATCACTTACATGCATATGGCAACCTGTGATGTTTGATTTAGGTTTCTGGTTTGGTGAATATTGAGAAATCTTATGATAGTCTAGGATCTGATTTTGTGTTGTGTTTTGTGGGTCATGTTTATCTTTGGTTGGGTGAATTAGAGGCATCAGGTATGGCCTTGGGGAAGGTACAAATAGGTGTGGAAGGTAGTATTGGGCCCGTACTACTAAAAGCATAGGATATGTACTCGAAACAAGGACAAAATTGGAAGCTCTAAGGAGTCTGGTGAGGAGGAATCCCTTCGAACTTGCTTATCAATTGCTCTTTATGTTGTATGTTTCAGTTAAGGATGGTGATGATTATGTGAGGAGGTTTGGGTTCAGGATCAGGTTTAGGCTCTGGTGTAGAGTCAATTAATGAGAGGCAGTGCAAGCTTATCGCGGCTGAGGTTATCGTGGAATCCTTGACACTACCCCGATAATATTTGGTACCATCAAGGAGGGGATCATGGAGATTATAGAGGAGCGGCTCAGGTCTTTTCGAGCTAAGATTTCTACGAGTCAGATTGGGACTCAAACTCCCTTATTCTGGGAGTTCAAGGCTTGTGGTGTGCCTGAGTTCTTTAGGGTTAAGAACATCATACCTAGTTGCCACTAGGTTGGAGAAATGGAGAATGCCCAGCCCACGAGCTTTTTGCCTCGAGGCGGCAAAGGTTGGGTTCGCATATTGTATCTTGAGGGATCAGGTGCGAGATTGGTAGGATACTCGTGAGGTAGGATCAGCGAGTGTAGCTGA